TCATCTAGACAAAAATGAACATGTTTATTGGTGACTAAACAGCAAAGGTGATCATTTGGAGAACCCAGCATTTAAAAAATTCTGTAATGCTTTAATTCAAAGGATGAGGCAACAATATTAAAGATAATTTTGAAAATAGTATTAAAAAATCAACCATGATTCTGCCAACTTAAATTTCTATTTTTATTTCTGTATATTAGATTTTAGTCTTTTCTTTCATATACAGATATTTTACATGATTTTAATCATAGTGTATATGCCATTAGGTATATCACAGGCCTGGAAATTTGCATCTATGGTCTTTATAACTGTCATTTTAGTGGCTTATGTGGGAGAGGGTAGTATATGTTCCTTCTAGGAACGGAGAGAGAGTGGCTCCCAGGCACAATTCTAATGATGTGACATGATTTACTAAGCCACGTCCCTATTGGTGATTGTTACTAGTTTTGTATGATTATAGATAATGGTGTCTAGCAGCTAAGAATAGTTTTTAGCTGCTGGAAATAGAGACCCAACTATAGTATCTTAAACACATTAAAAGAAAAAAAAAGTCAAAGGAAGGCTGTTCAGGGCTGGTTTGATGTTGCAAGAAGACGTAAGTGGCCTAAGCTGTTTCTGTTTTTCTACTTTGCCATCCTTTTTTCATGGCTTCCAAGTTCAAAGTTACAATATAGCTACTTGAACTGCAGCCCTAATGTCTCAATTCCAGGCAAGAAGTGAGAAGAAGAGGGAAAGGCAAAAGGTGTCCCTCTCCCACCTCTGCTGTCTCTTTTCTTTTAAAGAGCCTCCCCAGAGTTTCCACGTCAAAGCGGCTCATTAGCTGTGTGATCTTGGGTCAATTACACACTCCCTAAGGCTCAGTTTCTTCATCTATAAAGTGACAGCAGTAATTCCTACTTTACCGTGTGCGAAAAATACCGTATATCCAAAAATGCTGTGCAAATGCAAGTGTTAAATTAAAATAGCACTTGCAGTCCAAAGCAGGCTGCAACAGCTGAAAGATTTCATGTCTGTGTTCTTGCTGCAAAAGAACACATTACAGCCATTCACAGTCACCCGCTTTCCCCACCCTAAAGTACATTTGGGAAGGAGAGAAAGCAGAACTAGACCATGTTTGATTCATGTCAAAGGGAAGTTTGAGAACTATGCGATTCTAGGCAGTGGTAGAAGTGATCAAACCCCAAACCACCTCCATATTCCTCCCTGTCTCTGCTGTCCTGGAGGGGAATATTATGTTGTAGACAATGGGCCAGCCCTAGGCCCAGAGGCTGAAAAACGCTGACACAGGCAGTTCCTCATGACCTCACAGACTGCCAGGCCAGTGGACACACTCCACTGTGACTGGAATGGCCCTGATCTCAGTAACCAAAATTGTCAGCTCCCTGAGAGCAGGGACCCATCTCTGTGTGTACCTCTGCATTCAATGCCTGGCCCCTAGGAGTCCCTCAGTGAAAATCTATTTACCAATTCTAGCCCCACGCAAAAGACTGAGAGTCAGTCTTACATGTGACTTATTTAAGCTATTGTGCCTCTCAGCCCATCATTGTTGACTGAAGCTAAGAAGGACTACCCTGGGTTGAGGCATATTTTTGAACAAAAATAATTAAAATAATAATTATAGGTAACCTACTGAGCATTTACTCTGTGTAAGCACTTAGTGCTTTACAAGATTTAATTCATTTAATTCTTCCCACAATCGTAGGTGTTATGTTATGCTCATTCTACCGTAGAAGAAACAAGCTTAGAGAGAGCAAGTAATTTGCCCAAGGTCACAAAGCTAGGAGAAGAAGAAAATGGCTCAAAATTACTAAATCTGGACATAGATTTTACTGGAAAATCGCTGTTAAATTCCTCAAATAGATTGTAAGTGTCCTTCAGGGACCTTTCTTTTATCGAATTCATTTTTTCATAAATGGCCTATTTTAGGCAAGTGACTTAATTTCTTTAATCCTCAGGTTCCTCATCCAAAGAATGCGAGGGAACACAATACTGCCCACCTCATAGGGTTTCTGTGAGGATTATATGAGATGAATGCAGATACAGTGCCTGGTGCATAGTAAATGTTTTTTTAAAACATAGTAAAAGTATATTTTAATCACCATTATTATTAGTACCGGTTTTGTTAATTTGATGAGTACTTCCTAATTTGTGATGTACATCAGAATCATCAGTGAATGACCCCTTTTCAAAATATACAATATATTTCAAAAAAATATAGAAGTCTGGATCCCAAGTGGGGTATTTTGAAAAAAGTTCTCCAAATGATTCTGATTCATATTCCCTTTTGAGAATCACTGCTGAATGTGACCAATATCCATTGAGGAAATATTTTGTTCAAGACACTGTGCTTTGTGCTAAGAAGGATGTAAGATGCATAATAATAGTAAATGTCATGTGAGAATAAGTACGTTACTGCAAGAGATGAGAGATTGGCGTGGTTCCTCCTCCAGCAGGGGTAATCAGGAAGGCCTCATGGAGGTGATAACAATTGGGCTGGGCTTGAAGGCTCAGCAAGGTTAGCTTGCTAAGGATGGTGGCCTGGTAGTAAGTGAAGGCAAGAGGCAGAGAATGTCAGTGGTTACATTTTTAGCTGAAACACAGAGTCTGCCTTGGTGAGAGTTGGGAGATGAAGCTAGATGGTTGGTTGGAGTCCGAGAGTGGAGGGTCTTGAATTCCCTGACCAATTGGGTTTGTACTAAATCTGGAGGACTATGACAAGCCACTGAGTTTCCTCGAGCCAGAGAGTGAAATGCTCAGAATTGTTCTCTCAGCAATTAAATCTGGTGTCCTCATGAATTAGAAAGTGAAGAACCCGAAGGCAAGAAGCAAACAAGGCCAGAAACATCTATTGCGTCAGCCAGGTCTCAGAATAAGAGCTTGGACCAGGCAGGGTTCTCACAGGTGGTCAGGATGAAGGAAGAATTGTACAAACCTAGAGACTGATTTCATGGTGGGGGAGGGGTGGTGAGGGGAACAAGAAGTGAAGATGACTTTGAGATTTGAGCCTGGGTGATGGGAAGAACAGTGCTGTGACCAGAAAAAGGGAAGTTGGGGTATGAGCTGAGTTGGGGGAAGTAAGATGACGAGTTGGAGGTACTAAATTTGAGATGCCTGGGGACTAGGTGCACACATCTAGGCGTTAGATGGAAATGTGTAGTTCAAACAAATAAACAAAAATGAAGTGAGTCAGCTGTGTTGTAGGGTGTCACCTGCAGCCTCAGTAGTGGATGAACTCTGTGGGAAGGAGTTTCTTAGCCTTGAGTCTGTGGACGGGCTTCTTGGGTGGGGAGATGTCTGTGAACTCCTTCGCATTTTAAGCAGAATATGATATGTATGAAAGAGTCTACAGTTTTATTGGATTGTTTACCCTAAACCAGGTTAACAACCATTGCTTTATGTAGAAAGAGGTGGATTGAGATGGTGCCGATGGAATTTTTACATAGTAGGTATTGAATAAAATAACCCAGCCAATCTCTGCATTCCTGACTACCATACCTCAGATGGTGGTGGTGTTTGTCGTTACCATGGCAGACTCTTGATCAAAGTTGTCTTAAAAATGTTCCTTCTTGCCGAGACAATTCAATGGGGAAAGAATAATCTTATTAACAAATGATCCAGAAATAACTGGCTATCCACATGTTAACAGAATGAATCTGGACCCCCTACCTTGCCCTACATACAAAAGTTAACTCAAAATTGGTTGAAGACCTAAGTATAAGAGTTAAAACTATGAAACACTTAAAATACTTTCTAAATGTAAATCTCAGATGTGGCACCTAAAGCACAAGAAACCAAGGAATAAACTGGACTTTATTGAAATTTGTTTTGTGCTTCAAGGACACTATCAAGAAAGTAAAAAGACAATCCATAGAATAGTAGAAAATATTTGCAAATCACATATCTGACAAGGGTCTCGTATCCAGAATATGTAAAGAACTCTTACAACTCAACAATAAAAATACAAATAACCAAATTAAAAATGGCAAAAGATTTGAATAAACATTTCTCCAAATAAAATATAAAAATAGCCAATAAGCACATGAAAAAATGCTCAACATCATTAGTCATCAGGAAAATGCAAATCAACAGCACAGTGAAATACCACTTTATACCCACCAGGATGGCTATAATAATAATACAGACAATAACATGGATATGTTGGTAAAGATGTAAAGAAATTAGAATCCTCATACATTACAGGTAGGAACATAAAATGGTACAGTCATTTTGGAAAAACATTTTGGCAGTTCCTCAAAAAGATACGTATAGAGTTACCATATGACGCAATAATTCTAATCCTAGGTATATTCCCAAAAGAATTGAAAACATATGTTCACCCGAAAGCTTTACACAAATATTCATTCTGGCATCATTCATCATAGTCAAAAAGTGGAAACAATCCAAATGTCCATCAACTGATGAGTGAATAAATGAATATGGTATAGCCATACAGTGAAACATTATTCAGACGTAAAGAAGAATGAAGTACCGATACATGCTACAATATCAACGCCCCTTGAAAACATTGTGCTAAATGAAAGAAGCCAGACACAAAAGGTACATGTATGATTCCATTTATTTTATTTTTATTTATTTATTTATTTATTTTGGTGAGGAAGATCAGCCCTGAGCTAACATCTGTTACAATCTTCCTCTTTTTGCTTGAGGAAGATTGTCACTAAGCTAATATCTGTAACAATCTTCCTCTATTTTGTACACGGGACATGGCCACAGCATGGCCTTATGAGCAGTGTGTAGGTCCATGCCTGGGATCAAAACCTGCAAACCCTGGGCCTCTGAAGCAGAGCACACGAACTTAACCACTATGCCACCGGGCCAGCCCCCAGGCACATGTATGATTCCATTTGAATAAAATATTTAGAATAGATAAATCTATAGAGACAAAAAGTAGATTAGTGATTTCCAGGGGCTGGGGAAGGGGAGGAATGGGGAGTGATGGCTAATAGGTATGGAGTTTCTTTTTGGGGTGATGGAAACATTCTGGAATTAGATAGTAGTGATAGTTGTACAACCTTGTGAATATGCTAAAAATCACTAGGGAATTTTATGTTACATGAAATTATATGTCACTAAAAAAAATACTGTTCTGTCTTCTCTGATTCTGGTTGTCCTTAAATGGGATGGGAATGATATCAATTATCCGAGAAGAAAGAATCAAATGAACAAAGTAACAGAGATAAGAAAGTAAAGACAGATGTCAGGGAATGGTGGATTTGGATGGAACGTAGGTGTGTGTATGGAGGAATCAGGAGATGAAGCTGAACAGGTAAGTTGGGACGAGAACAGCAAGTCAGTTAGTCATTCAGTGAGTCATAAATATTTATGAGGAGTTACTCAGTGCCAGCCACTACTTTAAGTACTTAAACAAAAAGATCTGGTCCCTACCCACATAGGGCTCAGCAGTCTAGCTCTGGTGACATCAAACAAATATTTAATTCAAATTCAATTAAACTGTTATCAGAGTGCGAAGGATTGGAAGTTCAGAGTGTGACGGAAAAACCTGATGGCAGATGCTACAGGTGTGAGGAAATCCAGGAAGTTTTCCAGAGGAAGAGAAGATTTAAGCTGAGAAGGGTCTCACTTCCAAGCCAGTGGATTTTGACTGAATGTGCAGGCAATTGGGAGCCCTCTAAAGGGGTTGTACCTGGAGAGGTACGTGATCAGAGCAATGCCATAGGAAGATTTAGCCAGGGGTGGCTCTTAAACTCACCATACAAGGCTCTTTGGGGCACCAATCTTGCCCAAACACCCTGTACTGCCGGCAAAGCAGGAGCGGGATGAACATTTCTTCAACCGTGACAGTTGTGGCTGTGTTCAGAGGAGCTCCCTGTCATGCTTCATCCTTCCAGATATTGTTGGAGAGAGAACGTTTGCGACCTTTATGAAAAGATGGATAGAACAGCAGGCCTCTCTTCCTCCCACTGCTGAAAGCAATTAACCAAGGGCCCTTGCTAGGTTCTTTTTTGGGGGGGGAGTGGGGTGGATCACGCAGATACAGCTTCATATAACAGTGTTACTTCTTACCTTGAATTTGCCACAAAGGGAGTTGTCAAAACGAACTGCTAAATCATAATATATGTATCCTTTAAGTGTATGTGGGTACCTGCATCAGGGAGAGGTGGAGAACAGAGTTGAAAACAATATTGTTAAACAAATCTCTCTCTCTCTCTCTGTATATATAGACGTAATTATTTTAAAAATATATATAAATTTATAGTTTCGTTAATTTATCATTGCCCTTTCCCACAGGAAGGTCTCTAAGTTCTAGTCACAGCACGACTAGTGCAGATGCTGACAAAAAGCAAAACAGCATCTTGAACCATATGCCTTACTGATTCTGCAGCAATACTCTGGATGTAAAGGGCCAGCGCCCACATCTTTATCTTGGTGTCCAAAGACAGAGAGAACATTGCTCGTCTTGACCCAGAGCAGAGCTTCCTGAAATGTGTCCTTTGGACTCTTGGGACAGGGTCCACTTGAGGTTCATACCAGCCACTTCTAGAGCCAGAGACTTTTGGTTCTTGCCCCATGATCAGGGTTCTCAAACGTGGGTATGAGAATCCACCTGGGAAGCTTATTAAAATGCAAGACCCACTCCCAGATATTCTGATTTAAGTAGGTCCTAGCAGAATGTGGAATCTGCATTTTGAAGAGAACTGAAGACTCTGCTGTAGATGTCCACTTTAGGAAACGCTGCTCTAATTCCACACCACTGGGTAAGGCTGGCCTCCTGCTGCGGCAGGGGGACAATTTTGGAGCTGGGTCTAGGCTTACGCCCTGGCTTAGCCGCTTATAAACTGTGTAACACAAGGCAAGAGTTGCTTAACCTTTCTGAGCCTTTTCACTCCTCGTTTTTGAAAAGAGGGCTAATAGTGCTTACCTGAACATGTTACCCTCCCAGCCCTACATTTAATATAGGCCTTTCACTGCCCTCTCGCACTGGTTTGAGTTATTTAGGGAAGACAGGCACAATGGCAGTGAGAGAAGAGGGATTAGAGGGGACAGGGACCTTTAAAAAAAATTTGTTCATTTGATCCAAATGAACTCAAAGCCTGACTCCCTTCACAGACTCTTCCTGGGTTCTGTGACTGCGCTTCCTGTTTCCACATCAAAATTTAATTCAATGAGCATTTGTGAAGGGCCTGCCAAGGGCCGGCCAATGGCCAGACTCTGTGGGAGGTACTGGGGGGACACAGATGTGGGTGACATGTGGGCCTGGACTCAGGGAGCTCCCCACCTAGTGAGTGACACAGGTCCCACATGACTATAGAACGTACCAAGGACTGGGGGAACTTAAGGGACGGAAAGGCTAATTCCAACAGATGGAAAGGAAAAGAATTCCAGTGGGCAAGAATTCCCATGCTAACTTTAGACTGCAAGCTTCTCAAAGACAGGGGCTAATTTTTCCCTTCCAACTCCTCAGAGCTCCTGAGGGGTCCATGGGCCCTGTGGCTCTGAGAAGAGTTCAGCTGACTCGCTGACAAGTCCTGCAGTCTTTTGCTTCCTGGTGCCACCTGTATGCTGTTCACTGAAGCCCCTTCTTTCTTACTAAACAGCTCTGTTTCTAGGGCCAGTGCTTTTGGGAGGTATGGCAAAATTCTTGCCTTTGTTTAAAAAAATATACCATTGAAAGGAAATTTTGGTGAAAATAGCAAACACCCTGCCTGCCTTTTTCACTCTGTTCCTCTTGCTCTACCATCCCCACATTCTCACATAACACCATCACCCAAGCTTTTTAAGAGCCTAGAAGCCATTACTTCCTGGGCAAGTCTGCTCTTGGAGAGTTGGAGTTTGGCCCGTGGCCTGGGCTACTGGCATTCCTTTTTTACTAAGATTGTTTATCTGGAAAGGAGGGTGATCAAGCCAGTTGGGCTGAGCACAGTGCTTTGAAAAGGTGAGAGCCTGGGACTGGAGCACTGAGGAGCCCCCTGGCTAATAGGAGTTGGCTCTTTTAGCCGTCAGGAGGCAAAGATGTTAAGCCACCTGGACTGCCCTATTGTACTGGTTGCTATTGGTTCCTTTTGTTAAAAAAAGAAAAAAAAGTAAAGTGGCTGTTTGCTAAAGCAGCTTTTGTTCAGTGGGAAAGAGTGCTTCTACCTTAGAACAGGAAAGGCGTCAGCGATGGTGGCAGAAAGCGCTGGGCAGTCTTCTCAAGGAGCCATCTGGTGGCTCTGCGCTGTAAGCACCACTCTTGGAGCCACCTCTGTGTGAGCTGAGCTCACTCTACGTTTCTTTTCTTGGAGAAATGGCCTCCCCAGCTCAGGAAGGGGCCTCCTATCCACAACAGCGTACCAGATGCCTGCCCACTTTGATTTTCCTCGTTGTGGTTTTCGAGGGCCCGCAGGACCTGCCCCTGGGCTTCCTGCTCATCCTTTCTTCCCCCATCTCCAGACAAGCTTCTCCAGCTCCAGCCCCAGCAGCCCTCCTGCCTTCCTGGGGCCTTTGCATTTCCTTCCTCAGCTCAGGATTCCTTTCTCCAGCATCTTCTCAAGGTTGGCTCCTTCTCCTGGCTCATATTTCAGCTCAAATGAGCCTTCTGAGGAAGTGCCCTTCCTGGCTCCTCTCTCTAAAGCAGTGCCTACACCAAGTCCCTCTCATCACAGTTCATTGCTTTATTTTACTTGCAAGCTATTTAATAGTGTCTAAAATGATCTCATTCATTCATGTACTTTTTTCCATTGTATTGTCTGTGTTAAGTCTAAGAAAGCCTTGCCTGTTTCGTCTTTGTATCCCTAGCATCAAGAAAAGTACCTGGCTTGTATCTGATGTGCAGTAAATATATGTGGACAAATGAATGAAACTGAAGGCATAAAACCTGGGAAGGTAGAAGCTTTAGACCCCAGATGGGTCTGACTGAGTTTGTGTTGCACTCCACCTCATATTCCCTCTGTTTCCTTCCAGAAAACAATCTATCAAAGGGGCTATTTCCATGGCTAGCATCCATTTTCCTATGGGATTATATTTTGGCTGCCAGAAATTTGGTTCTTTCTCACCATCCAACCCTGCCCTCCCTTTCTTGGTTCAGTTTTTCCTAATGTATATTCACACATTCTTTAATGGCTTTAACAGGGGCTGGACTTACAGGGGAAAGCATTCTTCCATTTTTGAGGTGCCATGGTTTTTAGACATTTCCAAATATTTGATGTAAAAACGTTGAACCATCAAGAGAGATTCCTACCTCATCTGATCAAACTCGCCTGGTCGATTTCCCGCACATGAACACGCCCTTGCAGCCAGCAGCTGCCTCTTCTCCTGATGATGACTTCTTATTCCCTGGCCAGCAGCCAAGACTCCACCCACTCGGCTTCTTCAAGGAAGAGCCCTCAGATTGCAGGGGCACCAACTCATTGTCCACCAGGCTTCCCTTGTATCTGGGCCCAGACCTGGTCAAATGTTCTCCCTCAGCCTTTTCTTCAGTTTTTTCCAGTTGTGTGTAAGTGTGCGTGTGCGTGTCACATACGCATGCACACATGGAGTCTTCCTTCCCATTGGTGTCTAGAAAAGATGAGCTTGAGCCACCAATTCAATACACTGTGAATGTCCAGTGATTTCTCCAAATTCTTTGAGAGTTATTTTCTTGTAATTACCCTGGCTTTTAACTCTTGTTTTCTTCTTTTGTGGCTTTGCTCTTTCTGTTAGTCTATTCCACAATTGACTCATATCTGAAATTGAGCCTCATCCCTGAGTTCCACCAACGCAAACAAATCCTTACACGAGGAAGTTCGTAAAGAAGATTTTACAGCAGACTTGAGAGGACTATAGAGAGGCTTTTATTGCAACAGGGCACAACTACATAGACATCCAAGTTCTAGACTCCCACTCCTGGGATTTTTTGCTGGTCACTCCACTCAGCAGAGAGCCCCAGACTCACCCATTTTGCTGTCCCTCGTCTTCACCCACCTCTCTTTTTCTCATCTCCTTCGTGGGTTCTCCCCCACCAATTCCAATTCTTATTAATTATGCAGAGCAATTCAACTCTGCCCCAGCCCTTCTTCCCACATGTTGCTCTGGGCCCATTTTGCATATCCAAATCCATGAAGGTACTGAGCTGACCAAAAAGCTTTCCTATATATAAGATCCACTCTTCTCAGAAGGCAATTGTGCTTTAAACGGCATTGTCCTCTCCTTTGTGTAAGTGAGCTCTCCAAGGCAAGGCTGATGGGAACCTGATGCCCTGTGTATCCTCCAAACGTGGAATTCACAAAACACCAAAGCTGGCAGTGGCTTTTCAGAGGCCCAATCATTATCTACTTACTGCTCTCTCCTGAGATGGTAAATGGCTTGAGGATTAGTATGAGCTGCTGAAATCAAGCTACCAAAATTATTGGAGTTTCTTCGTCTTCACAGGACAGCTAAGATCTCCTGAATCCTATTTGCCCTTTCACTGGGGGTATCTTTCCATCTCGGGTGCAGTAGCAGTTTTCATAAGCTTTTTTCAGCCTGAAACTTAATAAAAAGAAAAAAGAAAGCATCTTTATGCCTTTTATACTGGCAATGGAAGAGCTGGGCTGGTGGCAGAAGATTTATTGGGGCTGGAGACTTTTTTTTAAAGGAAGATTAGCCCTGAGCTAACTACTGCCAATCCACCTCTTTTTGCTGAGGAGGACTGGCCCTGAGCTAACACCCATGCCCATCTTCCTCTACTTTATACGTGGGATGCCTCCCATAGCATGGCTTTTGCCAAGCAGTGGCATGTCTGCACCCGGGATCTGAACCAGCAAACCCTGGGCCGCCGAGAAGCAGAACGTGCGAACTTAACCGCTGTGCTACCGGGCCGGCCCCTGGAGTTGTTTTTGAGCAGGTTGTGCTGCGGAGGGAGCCCAGGAATGAGAAGGAAATCAGAGGGTCATAGAATGCAAGCTCAGGGATCCTTGGAGAACCTGTAGAGAAGCAGCCCCTCACTTTGTAGCGGCAGGATCCTGAGCCCAGAGCAGCTCATTAAGGCAGTATAATTTATGGTCCATTGTTCAATTTGTTTGGGGAAGTAGGAATCCCCTTGGAGTGCCCTGACTTCGAGAACAGGCCCATGTAAGGGTGTCAGGGCTGCTCTAGAGAACCCGCAGCTCTTTGAATCAAGGAAAAATGAGTCAATTGCTTGTTCTTTTTAGCTCTTGAACTTTAAAAATCTGAGTTGTGGTTCAGTATCTGAGGTGGTATGTGCATTTGGTGTGGGGGTGGAAGGTGACAAAGAGGATTCAGAAGATGGTGATTCGGTTCTTTGAGACGTCTGAGGGAAGAGGAAGAGCGTAGAAGGAGGAGGGTTCCTGCCCAGCGGTGGAATAGTAAATGTAAATGGGTCAATTTGATGTCAGCTCTTTCCCTCCTGGACTGAAGTGCAAATAGTATCCAGTTGAGTTTTTCTTTGGCAGAATGACTGCTATGTAAACTGGAATCAGGGACAGAAAATTGCTGCACAGGATTGTTTGTGACAGATACTCTGTCGTGACCAATTTAATTCAGCTCAACAAGTAATTCTCAAGCACCTAGTGTATGCCCAGCACAAGGCCAGATGTGATGTGGGGAACAGGAAGAAAGGCTTTCCAGTACAGCTCCCCACAAGACCAAGACAATCTCACTAAGAAATCAACACCCATCAACGTGGAACAGACAGAAAATGAGATTGAAAAGTTAAATGCCAAAAGTTATGGTGCAGACAGTATATGTTCTGGAAAGTCGTGAGGAAAAGGGGTCAGGAGGAGGGGTTGCAAGGAGGTGGAACCTGAGCTAGAGCGAAAGCTGTTCGTTTTGGGGGCTGTGTCTTCCCCTGTTTGTATTCCCTAGTATGAGGCTTTGCCCTTGGCAAGTAATCCATAAAGTACTCCCTCCTCAGTGATGGAGGGAGGGGAGGGCAGACAAGAACAGAGAAACAGATGTGGAGGGGATCAGAGGTCTGTAAGGACCACACCAACCTAACAGAGCAGAGAGCGTAAGTGATAGACTTGCAGGAGGGTGGGAGGGCAGGAAGGTCTCCAGAGGCAGAGTTTGCATTTGACTCTGAGGCCAGAGGAACCACAGGAGAGGCAAGGGCAGTGCTTTGGAAAGCACACTGGCCTGTAGGTTTGGAAGATGCGGTGCTAGACTGGGCTCGCCCCTTTCGTTTTCTTTGCCTTAGTTTTCAACATGCCAAATGCAAGGTTGTACTGTGAATTCTCTTCCAGGCCTACATTCTAGAGAATGCATCTCAGGGTGGTGTGCAGGGTGGATGCTTGGAGGCAGAGAAACCATTTGGTTCCAGGAATTCAGGGGCCCAAGACATGGTCCGAGGTGGTGGCAAAGGGAGCAACAAAGAAGCGAAGGATTCAGGATATTTGGAAGTGACTCTTAGGATGCTTTTACATTTTCTTGATGGAGTTGGAGTTAGCACAGTTAGTTTTAGGGGAAGAGAGATTGTTTTGGTGGTTAGTATTTGAGGTGTGAGGTGACTGTGAGATGTCTTAGAAGCAGCCAGAAGTGTAGGATTAGAGTTTGACTGGGTGAGGCAGGGTAGGTAAAAGGGGGGGTCTTGGAGTCAGACAATGGGTGGCTTTGAATCTCACACTAATGTGTACCAGCTCTGTGACCTTGGGCGCATGACTAGACTAGGGTGCCCAACTCATCCAGTTTGCATGGGACTTTCCCAGTTTTAGCAGTGAAAGTTCCATGTCCCAGGAAACTCCGCTGTCCCAGGCAAACTGGGATGGTTGGTGAACCCATCTGGCCAAATTTAGCCTCAGTTTCCCAATCTGAAAAGTAGGGATAATAACAGAACCTTCTCCAGAGTGTTGTATGGATTAAATGAGACAGTAGAGATAGTACGTGCAAAGTACTCAGCAGAAAGATTGGCACAAAAAAGGCATAAAACAAATATTTGTTGAAAGGATGAGTTGAATGAGTCTGGCAGATGAGCCAGTGGGGTGCAGAGGGATGGGTAAAGTCATCCATTGTCACCACGGGACATGTGTGGAGTCATTGGCTTTGTGTAAAGAACTTGCGGATTGGGATTCTATCTGTATTTATAAAAGAGAGTTTGCCAAGAAAATTATTAATGTAAATGAGAAATGTGAGCCCACTGAAGAGGGCAAACCTTAGCAGCAACATTTACATTTTAATAGTGCTGATGTTAATTATAAGTGAATATGCACCTTCACTAGAGGATTTCCAAGATTCTCTAAAGAAGTGCATCTCTGCTCTCCGTCTCAGTTTACACTGTGGTTATATGTGCTTAAATGAAATAAAACCACATTTTGTATCAGTATTCATTCATTCATTCACTTAACAAGTATTTATTTAGCATTTTTCGTGTGTCAGGCACAATGCTAGGCTCTATGAAAGCTAAAAAGAAATAGGTGAAATAGCCTGTATTCTTAGAAAATTTACAGCAAATTGTTTTATAATTATACTTATTTTCCTTATTTAAACTTGAATGACCATTCCCCCTCCCTTATTTTTTTCCCCATCAGCATCATGGCATTTTGACAGCTCCATATAAGATTTCACACTACCTTTAAAGTCCTAGAAGCCAGGAGCAGAGAAATCAGAAAGTCCTTGTGGGCCATCTTGAAGAGATGGCCTGGGAACAGGAAAGGTGGACTAGAAGAGCAGGAGAGAGGCGGAGGGAGCAGACAAGAGGGGTACAGAGAGGAAGGAGCATAAAGGAGAAGGCAGAGAGGAGGGGGGGAGCAGAGAGGAGGAAGCAGAGAGGAGAGGGGCACAGAGGAGGGGGGAACAGAGAGGAAGGGGGACAGAGAGGAGTAGGGGAGAGAATGGGGAAGCAGAGAGGAGGGGAAAGCAGGGAGGAGGGGGAAACAGGAAGGGAGAGCAGAGAGGAGGGGGACAGAGAGGAGGGGATAGAGAGGAGGGGGGAGCAGAGAAAGAGGAGTGAAGGGTTCTGAGGAGCAGAAGCAGGGAGCAGGTGGGGAAGAAAGGAGACCCTGAGGAGACAGCAGTTGAAGCAGGAGTCTCAAAGGATGTGCTTGCTAAGCTATAGTCACCCCCCCAATTGAATAGAAATGTTGAAATTACACACGTGAGGGTTTTTTTGCTTTAATCTTGATTTTTTTTCTTTAACCACAGCTAAGAGGAAACCAGAGCGAAGACCAGAGCGTGGTGGCGAGGATGGGCTCCACGCCCCCAGGCCGGCTTCACCTCTTCCCCACTTTGCCTGGGGTTGTGTCTCCACTCCAGGTGTCACTGCCTATGGCCCCTTCTTGATACCAAAGGAGCAGGACACAGCCCTCCCCATGGCCAGCTGAGACTGAGTCTCCCCTGACAGAGGCCACCTCTTCTTCCAGGAGTTGACAGCTCCCCTGAGCTTTGCAAGCAGCTGCTTCCCTAAACTGCTTCCTCCTCAGACCCACTCTGGTGCAACCTTGACGCCACCCTTCCTCTTCCTTCACCTGAAGAGGCAAAGTAAGGTCAGGAGAGAGCAGTTGCTTACTCTTCTTTCCTTTCATTTTTCTTTAAACCTTGTCCCTTCTTTCCATTTTCCTGTGTTTTCTATCGCCAAAGCTTTCACAAAGTAAGAGATTAAGGATAAAAATGCATAACACACCCCAGGTGTCAGAGTCCAAGAAAGAAGAGTTGTGTGTGAATAATCACTTCACTTTGCCCTGGAGAATGACCAGGCTGGAAGGGCCTGCAGGGAGCATAATTGTTAGCCAAGAGCTGTGGACCAGAAGGTTGAAAAATTCCACCATCTGAGCCAAGTAGTCAGATTGCTGGCTGCCTCAATCAGCAAAACTCAAGGCAAGGTCTGGCCAACCCATGAAAGGCTGCCATTGTGGTGCATCTCAGCAGTCCCACACGGGTTTATCTCTTGGGTTATGGTTTCAAGGGACAAAATCATTGTAGATTTTAGGCCCAAAAGGAAGCTGTGCTATTGCATATCAATTTTGGGACTTTTTTTCTTTTTAATATACCTGATCTATTTGAAAGATGTTAAGCTGTTAAGTGCAATCAGTCAGGCAATTCCTTTCTGAGCACAGCTTTGCTGTACCTCTCAGACCCTTTTGAGTTCAGGCTTCCACATTTCTGTGCCTCGTTTTTGCTTTGCATCATTAGACTCTTAGGATGCTTTTAGGTATTATTCAACTGCCTGGACAGTCCATATTCCGAACAGACTCATGTAGATGGCATCTGCCCAGCATTTCCAGAGGCACAGGGCTAGCTTGGAGATGATTACATTAAATTACGCTTGCATATCACGTAATAGTTTGCAAGCACTTTCCCCAGGCAGTAGATCACTGAAGCCTGAAACAACGCTGCCAGATGGGTATGATTATCCGCAATTTGTTGGTGAGGAAATGGAGGTCCAGAGGTGAACTGCTAACCCAAAGTCTTAGAGCTAGTGGCGGATCCAGGTTTCCTGACTTAAATTGTATGCTTTCCCACCAAACCTGTTGCCTGTCAATGACATAAAAATAAAGATAAGAACTAACATGGATTCACTTTTTACTGTTTGCCAGGCACCACGCTAAATACTTAAACATGTATTATCTCATTTAGTTTTCCCAACAGATCCACGAGGGGGCTGATGTTATTATTCTCATTTTACAGATGAGAAAACTGAGGCTTAAGTAAATTGCTTACTGTCACATGAAAAGGGAGAGTACAGTAGGGACCTAAATGCAGCTAGTTTGACCCTAGAGCTGGTTCTTAACCCCTGACCACCTACATGGCAGACCAGAGGTAGGGCATGTCACCAAACTTGAGCCTTCATATTTAGTTGTCTAACCAGTTTTTTTGCCTCCTACTTAAAAATTTGAGTGCTCTGGGATACCAAGAGTCCTGTTAACCAAGTCTGCTGCAGACAAACACAATTAAATTGGTTGTCAGCTCTCCTGGGTTGGGGCGACAGGAGAATAGGAGGTTTTGGGGAACAGAAGGGAGCGCAAGACTGGAACGGAAAAGGAGGAGAGGATTTCCTTTTCCAATATGGCCACGGTGACAAGGACTGAAGGGCAGGATGGTGTCATGCGTGTGCAGGGACACAGTGCCATCACTTCTTTCCAGCCATATGTGCCATGCAATCTTTTTTATAGTGCCACATATGGCACTGTCTTAATTGAATTTCTCATAATAATTGATCTGACCTGTATCATTCTGTTAGCTTTAGCAAAACAAATTCTGACAGGTTTTGATATTAGAACTAAAAATATGTTTCCAACTAGCTGAGGAGCCATAAAGCAGGCTGAAATCATACTAATGATAATGTACAATCTGCTTGCTACCATAAATTTCTTATTATTTACATGAAGCAAACCATCCAGAGATAATGTGAGCCTTAAGTCCCCTTCCAGTTTTTACTGATCTTCTCTGATTTACCAAATGGGGGTAGGAGAGGGCTGAAAAAAGGCACCCCAGGCCACCTTGGTGTGCCCTTCTATGCCTCAGTGTGTCACGTGGGGTCTTCCTGGTGCCGCTGCTCATGAATGTCTGGGATGGCCATCCCAGTGGGGCGGGAGGGCTGTTTCAGTTAAAAAGCCCTTGGTTCAGGGAATAGAGACGCTCATTTTCTCAGGTGTTTCTTTTTGAGCATCTTCCCTGAAGACGGTGGAGTAACTGCCCTCATCCTGGGCTCCACCTTTAGGGGGTCTGCTCTGACTCCCCTCCCGCTGCACCTCTCCCTACAGGGCAATGATTATGCAGGGCCGAGGAACGGCGTCCACTCAAAGCCCATGTCCCTCCATACTTCGGGTGCCTGGAACCCTTCATTCCTGCGCAAACAGCCCTGAACTCACCTCCACACACAGGCCTCTTCTCCGGGTCTGACTTCCTTAGAGCCCACCTATGCTGTTGGTACACAATCCCGAGTTTGAAGGAGGCATCACAAATCTGAGTTCTGAGGGCCATCAAGAGGCAGCTATCACAGGGGGCTGTGAATGAAGTTTGGGCATGTGGCCAGAGGGGTCTATATACATGTGAACAAGGCCCCTCAGTGTGCAGTAGGGTCAGGGGTCGCAAGAGATGGGGTATGGCCCCAGGCTAGGGCCTCCTTCTCCTCATATGTCACGTTCACTGAGGAACTCTGAGGGGTTTGAAATTTAAAGTTGGTCTTCCAGGTCATTATGAAGGTTTATTTGCCAAGGTGGGAGGATAGAACCTATTTCCTTCAGCAGTTTGTTAGCTTGACTCAAACCTGTTAGGTCCTTAGTCACGTGTTCTATGGCTTTCCATTTGCACTCTTGCTCCAGCCCAGGAAAACGTAACGATGGGCTTGAGAGGGTGGGGACTGATCTTGATGGACTAAAGAGGTGGTGTGTGGAGCGACTTCTTCCCTCACTCTCAAGGTGGTGGATTCATGAAAGCATCTCACTAACGAATAGGGGAGCAAGGGGACTTGGTTCTCCATTTGGACTCGTGATCAAGTAACTGAATGTCTTGGGCCAGTGCCTTTGAGGGCCTCAGGTTCTTGGTCTGTAGAAGGGAAAGGGGGCTAGTTAGCATTTCTCAAAGCGAGTTCCTGGACCACTCGCCACATGACGGATGAAAAAAGGGTTCCATGGTCAATTACATTTGGGAAACAAATTCTTTCTTCTTTGAGAGTCTTAATGCACATTTGCATAATACAGTCTTCTGGAAGTCCTAGAGTTAAAAAAATGATTACTTTTAATTAACCTTGTGTCCTACACCATGCATTTATCAAGTGCTTACTGTGTGCTGGGGGCTATGCTGTGTGCTTTATATGCACATTTTATTTAATTATCACACCAGCCCTGTTATATAGGTATTATTAGGATTCCGCTTACAGATATGGAAACCAGGGCTCAGAGAGGCAGAGTAATTTGAAGGGAGTCAGAATTGAAGCCTTGCCACTTGACTCTGGGTCTGAAGTCTTCATTCATTTCCATAGGCAAGCTTGTGACCTCATTTTTTTCTTGTGGGTCGTTAAGTCATCTTTTTTGTACTTTTCTCTTTTGATGGTTATTACCACAAGCTCAGTGTGATCTCCTATGTACTTCATATTTATTGGAAAGAAACTCTTTCTCTTTCTCATTCTGAATATTTTTCTAAATTGAAAAAAAAGATTTTAAAACCAAATCAACTATACAAATAGCCAAAAAGCACATGAAAGAGGCTCAGTGTCATTAGTCATCAGGGAAATGCAAATCAAAACCACGATACCCTTTCATACCCACTAGGATGGCTCTAATAAAAAAGCCCAGAAAATAACAGTGTTGACAAGGATGTGGAAAAATCAGAACCCTCATACACTGCTGGGGGAAATGTAATGTGCGACAGCCACTTTGGAAAACAGCCTTTCAGTTCTTCAAAAAGTCAGACATGGAATTACCATGTGACCCTGCAATTCCACTCCTAGATACATACCCAAGAGGAAAAAAATACATTATCCACACAAAAAGTTCATAGCAGCATTTCTTATAATGGCCAAAAGGTGGAAACGACCCAGCTGTACATCAACTGTCCAGCTGATGAATGATGAACAAATTATGGTATATCCATACAATGAAATATTATTTAGCCATAAAAAGGAATGAAGTACTGATACATATACAACATAGATGAACCTTGAAAACATTATGATAAGTGAAAGAGGCCAGACACAAAAGACCATATACGTGATTTCATTTATATGAAAGGTCCAGAACAGATAAATCTATAGAGACAGA